GTGACCTCGTTGCGGGCCTCTATGCCTTCGAAGTTGTCAGCTCTGAAGAAATCCGATGTCTGTGGAGCGATGCAACAGGCGCACACAGCACACACACAGACAAAGAAGGACGGGAGCAGGGCAGGAAAGGGCAGGGAAGGGCAGGGAAGGGCAGGGAAGGGCAGGGAAGGCATGGGAAGGCACGGGAAGGCACGGGAAGGAGAACACATATGTGGCATGGGATGGATGAATCAAGAGATGGGAGCACAACAACTCATGGGCACACTTTACTGAACCATAAGCCAGCACTGCATGCAAGCAAGACCCAAACTTGCCCGAACTATTTTCTCCTTTTGCAAGCGACTCTGAACCCACTGGCCAACTACTGGGACCACACACGGCAGTTAACTGGGCCCCAAGAGCACTACACTACACACAAACCCAAGATCTCAAGGTAGTACACGTACCTGACTGGCTCCCAGCTTCAGTCGCCGATACTGCCAGCACGCACAGTGGTTGGTGGGCACAGGGAGGAGCCGGAGCAAGAGAGTGCATGGGCGGGGAATGGGTAGCATAGACTGACAGAATGAGTGACATGGGGGAGAGAGAGAGTGTGCGTGTGTGTGTGTGTAGGGAGATGAGAAGAACCACCATGCATGCTCACAAACGCGCATACACCCCCCCCGAAAACGAGCATGCCAAGAGAGAGACGCACGAGAGAGCATGCACCACCTGCCTGCCCTCGAGCTCGCGGCAACAATGCTGCACTGCAAGCCCTCCGTCTACCCTCAGGAGTCCGTGAGCACGCACGCACGCACCTTGCCGACGTTGAAGTGCTTGGTCTCGTGGCCCAGCCATCGCAGGTAGCGCGTGAGCTTCGCTGCTGTGAACGTCTTGCCACGTGCTGGCAGCCCCACCTGAGGGAGACAGAGAAGGGGAGGGAAGCCACCATGCCGTGCCACACGTGGGGAAGCCACCACGAAGGGGACAGATAAGGGGAGGCAGGCGTGGTTTTGCGTGAGAGACATATATTTTGGTTGGAATGGACGTGTGAATGACCCCTCCTGCCGCTCCCACTCCTCTCACCCCTTGCACCGGTCACTACCCTTCCCATGCACCCGTCCGCCCTGGCGCCCTCACCATGATGATAGCAAGGCGGCGCCTCTCCTTGGGTCCCAGCAGCCTCTCCGCCGCTGCTGCTGCCGCCACTGCTCCCGCTGCCTCGGGCAGGTCCTCAGGGAACGACAGCCGCGGATGCTGCTCATGGTGACGGGGAGGACACACATACACACATGCACACATGCACGCACACAGGGGTAAGGAGAGGGGGGGAGCGAGGATGGAAAGACACATGCGGGAAAGAGCGAGACGACCTTGTAGTCATAGACGTTAAACCCGTTTGCTGGGACCAACGGCTGTGATCTCTTCAACCATTCGACTCTTAATCCTTTAGACCTTCTTGCTGTACAATGCAGTTTCTGCAGGCATCCCCGTTCCTCCCCATTCCTTCCCTCCTCTCCTCTCCCTCCCTTTTCTCCCACCCCTCACATCTATCTCCTCTCCCCTCCCCCTAACCCCTCCTTCCCGCCCCTCTCCTCCCGACCGGACTCACATCAAGGTCCAGATCGGCAAGGCCACCGCAGCTGCCATTGCTGCCAGAGCTGCGCGCACTGAGGAACTTCACAGGACCCAGCACGTGCGGAGGCGGCGTGCCCACCGCGCCCTGCTGCTGCCCAATGCCAGGCCCCACTGCTGCACCTTCCAGCCTGAGCGCCTCCAAACCTCTCTCTGCTTCTTCCTCTGCCTCTGCCCGTGCCTCTGCTTCTGCCTGTTGCTGCTGCTGCTGCTGCTGTTGCTGCTGCTGCTGCTGCAGAAGGCGCGACTGAGCGCGCTGCATGGCAGCGTCAGCAGGGCTGGGCACCTGAACCAGCCCTGCAGCAGCAGCAGCCGCCGCTGACACGTCCTCTCTTGCTGCTCCCGGCTCATGCGCGTGCTCCCCTGCTGCCGCTGCTGCGAGAGCCGCATTGTCCATACGTGACTGCTCCTCCTCGCCCAGCAGCACCAGGTCCTGTATGGGGAAAGTGGATAGGCGGATGAGGAGGGATGGCCATGCATGTATGTGTAATACATGTGCCGCATGCACTGGGAGGGAAGGAACGTTATCTGAGAACATTGGGAACGTTATGTTCAGGCGTGATGACTTGAAGTGGCGTTCATGTTGATGTTGATGCTGAGTTGGACACGCGTCAAGTCACGTCACCTTGAGTTGAGTTTGGAAAGCGGCAGGGCGCTCACCTTGATAGAGACCACGGATCGCATCATGGGCGACGGTGACTGCTGCGGTGTGTGCCCCGTGCTGTGTGGCGCACTGCTCACCCTCGTTACCACACCACCCGCACTGGCGCCCCCCGGGCTGGCGGAGGAGAGGGAGAGCGAGGCGGAGAGGGGCGCGTCCGCGGACTGGCGCAGGAAGCGCGGGTCCTCTGTGGCGTCTGCTGCATAGAGCGGCACCTTGTGTGGTGGCGGCGGCACCTCGTAGTCCAAGAGTGAGTCTGACAGGAGGGGCTGAGAGGGGGTGAAGGGAATAGGAGGGGGAGAGAAGGAGAGGGAAGGAGGGAGGTATCAGGTGAGAGAAGGTAGTGCAGACGAGGGAGGGAGGGATCGTGTCCGGTGAACAGCAAGGACTTGAGAGGCTGTCTCGAGCTGTTGCAAACCGTTCACAGTGCAGCCACCATACCCCCCCCTTTCCCCCCGCCCCCACACTGACCCAGAACATATTATCTCTGATCATCCAAGCCACTCCGCCGTGCCATTCCACCCAGGTCCCAGTCCTTACAGTGAGCACGGGCGACACGTGGGAGGGAGTGGGCAGGGGCAAGGCATCGGCGCAGACATCAGGAATGCCGCGCACCAGCGTGCCCTGCGACGAGATGGCCCCATCGTACAGCTTCCACGCCGCTGCCAGCACAAACGGCGACACCGCCCTCGCACTCATCTCCACAGGAAACGCCACCTCCTCTCCACTCTCCCCCGCATCCCCCCCCGCATTCTCCCCCGCGCTCCCCCCAACGCTTCCCCCTACCGCGCTGCTCCCCCCTTCCCCTCCGCGCCCCTCTACCTTCCTCCACAGGTCCCTCAGGAGGAACCGGGCGGGACGGGACGAGTGAGGGCCTGCCAGGTGTCCAGCAATGATTTGGCGAGGGGGGCCCTCTTCTAGGAGGCAGGGGTCGTCGAGCATGATCATGCCGCCCACTGTCTTGAGCACCACCTTGAACTCCAACGGCGCTGCGTGCAATTGAGGGGTTTTGGGTAATTATGGTGGGGGTTTGGGAGGTTGCTGGGGCGACGGTGGCGGGAGCAGGAGCGGCGGAAGCAGCAGCAACAGCGTTAATTAGCTGCGAGCTGGGTGAATGCACGAGGAGTGAGACGCGCAATGTGATAATTCAGGATGCGATGCGACTCACCGTGCTGTGCTGGCAGCACCACGTTCAGCTGCCACGCGCACAGCGAATCCCGCTCCATAGGCACCTGTTGGTGGGATGGAAGGCACCAGTGACACGCTGAAGCCGTTGCACAGCGGCCGTGGCCCCGGCAATGCTGATTCTGAATGACGGATGTGTTCCGTATGCATGATAAGTGAAGCGGGAAGAGCCGCCTTGCGGAATGTCCTAGTTAGGGTTACGATTCAGTTGTGCGGTATCTGAGTAGAAGGGTTAGAAGGCTTGTCAGCGCGTGTTGCGGGAAGCACTCACCGCAGCGAGGGGATCCCATGCGCCGACGAGCGGATGCGCGCCGACCACATGCGGAATGAGCTGAGATGGCCCGGACTCCTGCGGTGAATCTAACGCGGCGGATTCTAACGGGGACGACGGATGCGAGTCGACTAGACGGAGCGACACGAACAGCTGGCCGCCTGATGCGGTGCCAGCCGACCCGAATACCCCATAGGATGGTGCGGGTGCGGTTGTCACAGGTGGCGGGTTGTCATTGGAGGAGAGCGTGGACGAAGCTGATCCCATTCTGGCAGCTGACGGCGAAGCGCAGCGCAAGGCAGCCCTAGATGGCCGCGTCGCGTGGTTGCTAAAATAAGTGAATCAAGATGGCATAACTAAGAAACTCAACAATACATGCAAGGAATCTGAATTGTGTTGGCCAGACTCAGCTGTGTTGACAAAGAGGCAGCATACGTTCGCGGAGGACCAGCGGAATGTGATGATAACGTTTCACCTGAAAGAAAGCCGTCAGTCATCAGTCACCTACTGGCTTGAGCAAGCCTCTGAATCTGATCAGCAAAGTCAGATGGGATGGATCATGAATGGGATGGGAGATCATGGGATTGAAAAGGCGGCGAGGGTGGCGGAACTGACGGAACGGAGACGATTTCATCGCTGATGCGCTGTCGCAGGGCATCGCGAATTGCCGCTGTCACATCTTGCCCGGCACTTTCGGATTGTGCGGCCGAAAATCGTTTTGGGAGACTGGGGGGTTCGATTGGGTTGAGTAGGGCGGTGCGCGCTCAATGCCTGCAAACACATCCAAACACATCCATCCAGTCCACATCACCACCTTGCCTCTTGTGGGATGGATGAAATGTTCGCGATTGTAGACACAGAGTTGGATCTGAAAAAATCAGCTCGTGTATTTACAAACATCGATTTGCCGCTCTAATGCGTACATTGCAGAAAGTGTGTGGATGTCAACCTATTTTGATATCGAATTTCTCCAATGATATGTTTATCGAAATCGAGTATTGTTCCTATGACTTTGTGAGTGAACTCCGCGACAATCTACGAGTATGCTGCACATGTTCAGTATTGTCAGCGCACCTACTCATTATGAGCAATACGATTTGCTTTGCTTGTTTGAGGCGCGAATTCCCGTCATCGCTACCAGCACTTTCCGCGAACAGGAGATCTCCAAGTCAAACGTGTCGTTGATTCGCCTCATTCCGCTCTACTCAGTGGCTGCGCGACCAAAAGCTCCCCGGAAAGGCTTTCGGCGCTGGTTCGGCCGCGTCAAAGATGTCGGCTGCGGAGGCGGAACCGATCGCCGCGCGAAGCAGCGCGAAGGAGGAGAGCGAAGAGAAAGCGGAGGAAAGACGGGGAGTTCTGGGAAGAGACGTGGAGCGGTTGGAAGCGGCATTTGCGGTGGACTCAACTGTCACTAGCGACAGCGCAGGCGACAATGCGGGCGACACCGAGGAGCTCGTTCGGCTTCGCGAGGCGCTACGCGGATTCCGGATGCCCGCCGAATGGGAGCCGCACGATGGGTGTTGGATGATCTGGCCCGTCAGTTCCTCCCGGCATGCCCCCGCGCTCCTCGCGCTCCCTCCCCGTCCCGCCTTCCTTTTCCCGTTCCGCTTTCGTCCACCGCTCCCAGTTCTTTTCCTTGGTCTGCACCGCACTGCACTGCACCTCACCTCCCAACACCTCCCTCCGCACCTCACCTCACCTCTCCCTTTCCCGCGCCATGCGCAGGAGCGTCCCGACAACTGGCGCGACGCAGCGGTGCCAGCTCAGCAGGCGTTCGCGGCGGTGGCGGCGTGCATCAGCCGATTCGAACCTGTGCGCATGCTGGTGTCGGGCGCACAGGTGCGCGCACGCGCGGACGGGGGAAGGGGAGAGAAAGGGGGGAAGAGGCCGTGGGGGAAAGGTGGGCAGGGGAGGGGTGGGAGAAACGAGGAGGGAAGGGTCGGGTGTGAGAGGGAGGTGCGGAAGGGGGAAGTAGTGTGGGAGGCAGAGGAAGGAGAGGGCCGTAGCTGAGAGAGTAGCGGTAAGGATGAGAATTTAGGGGCTTTTGTGTAGAGGTATCTATGTAGAGAATTTCGGTATACCTGATGTTCCCCATACCGCTTGCCCCTGTCCTCGTCTCTTCCCTTCCCATCCGTCCCATCTCATCCTCCATCTCGACCCATCCCCGTCTCATCCCACCCGTCCAATGACCAGTGGCGGAACGCGCGGCAGCAGCTGCCGGCGTCAGTGCGCGTGATAGAGATGAGCAGCAACGACGCGTGGGCCAGAGACATATGCCCCACTGTAAGCCGCTCCGTTACTCTTGCTCCTCCTTCACCAGTTCAGCCAGAATGCCTGTTTGTGAGGCTTATGTCTCTGACCTCTCAACGTAGACGTGCCAGTTGAAGAAGGGGACGAGGATGGGTTGACAGTGGCATGCAAGGGCCGGCATCTGAGAGTGACACAATGAGGGCCCAAAACTCTGTACCATTCATGGTTTGAGATGTTTCAAAGCAGATGATGGAGGAGGAAGGAACGCCACACTACCTTGCCCACCAGGGTTCCCTCAGTCCTTTGCTGCTTTCATTCCATTTAGAAAGTCTCCCACCACCATTCTCACTCCACCCTCTCCCCATTTCTCTCACCCCCACTCTCTTCCTTCCCCTTTCTCTCTCCCTCTGACCCTCCTTCCCCACGCCCCTTTTTTCCCTCTTATTGCTCTCTCTCTCCCCCGCTCACCTGTGTCCGTTGCAGTTTGTGGTGAAGGACCTGCCAGGTGGCGAACGACACGTGGCAGCTATTGATTGGACCTTCAACGCGTGGGGTGGTGAGTGAGTGTCACGCACATAATGGCATGCACACCACAGCATGCACACCACGGCATGCACACCACGGGATGCACACTACGGCATGCACACCACGGCATGCACATACCGTCCCATGTGCACACGCCATCATGCATGGGGTGTTCGTACTCATGTCCACCACGTTCGTGTGGCAGTCACGTGCCATCGTAGATGCCACAAACGCAATACATTCGCCTGCTCACTATTCTTGAGAATTCTCAAAGATACCCTCTCCTCCTTTCCTCTCTCCTTAATCCTTTCTCCTCTCTCCTTCAACTCCTCCGCTTATTCGCCCCACCTCCCCACCTGTCCTGGCCCAGGTGCTGAGAGCGGGTGCTATGGTGACTGGTCTCATGATGACTTGATTCCTGCCAAGGCACGTGCAAGCACAGAGCACATGCATATATATACACATGCGCATGCACATGCACGGTTGCTCATTACGAGGGTCGTACAGTCACATCTCTCCGCCACGACCCCGCCGTGTGGACATCTCCACTGGGGCGCTTTTAGCTCATACATCGCCCCACTCCGTGTGGACATTGACATGCCATATCTGATGCATCGGCGTCGCTCCCCACCCCACATGCGCACCACCCCACATGATTCCCACCCCATGGGCATGGCATCAGATGGCGGAGCTCATACCTACGTGCACGCGCCACCGCACCTCGCTCGTCATGGAGGGGGGCTCCCTGCACGTGGACGGTGAAGGTGTGTGCTAGTTGCTTGAAAATCGCTACATACGTCCTCCATGCTCCTCATTCACAACCCAGTGGCACACGCTCCTAAACCTGAAAGCCTCATTCTTTCAGGCGCCCTATTAACCGCCTTCGAGGCACCTGAGTAACCTCTTTTTCACACACATCCACAACTGCTCTGCTTCGCAGGCACGCTCATCACCACGGAGCAGTGCCTGCTGCACCACAGCCGCAACCCCGCTCTCTCACGAGCAGCCATCGAGGACCACCTCTGTGCTCTCCTGGGAATCTCCACCATCATCTGGCTGCCCCGGGGCCTGCAAGGTGCCCCTTCCTCTCACACACCTTTCGACGCCCCTCAGAGTGGTTTTATATGCTGTGGGTTCTTGTAGAAGCGATTGAATGGGGACCTGCAAATGCTCTCCTCGGGCTCTCGACCGTCATCTGGCTTCCCCGGGGCCTGCAAGGTGGACCGGCCTCTCACGTGCATACTTTCTCCCACTCACTTTCCGCTTGCTGCAATTGATGCGGGAAACTTCGAGCAGTAGCTCTGCTCTTGCGCACATGCCATCCTAGTGCTCTTCACTCGTCGTGCATCTCCCTCACTCCTTCCCGCACGCTCGCTTGCATGCATGCCCGCTCGCTCACTAGCTCGTTCCCGTTCACTGGCCATCCCGGCTGGCAGGTGACGAGGACACGGACGGGCATGTGGACAATCTGGCGTGCTTTGTGGCGCCCGCACACATGCTGCTCGCGTGGACTGATGACCCCTCGCACCCGCAGGTTCCCACTCTCACTTCTTGTCCTTTATCCCTTCTGCCCAGCCGTCCCACCCCTCTCCTCCCCTTGTATTCCGAACCCGACCTTCCTCTTTCTACCCCGCTCGCAGTCCTCTTCAATATGCCTTCACTCTCTCTCACTCCTTCTTCACTTTGATTTTCACTCTATCTACCGCATCTTCCTCCTCCTTCTCCTCTTCTGTTTCCTCTTCCGCTTCCTCTTCCTCTGTGCAATGTGCATCCCATCCGTCCTGCACTCCCTTCCACCAAATTCGGCCAAAATGCAACAACAATGGCAACACCAATGGCATTTGCAGTACCCAGTGTGTCAAGCGGCGCATGAGGTGCTGTGCTCAGCTCGAGACGCCAAGAGCCGGCCCCTGCGCATCACCCTCCTGCCGCTGCCACCCGCGCTCCACTACTCGCACCAAGACGTGCAAGGCCTCGCACAGGTACCACCACCCGCTGTGTTTGCTGCTCTGCTCTGCCTTGCCTTCGCTGCCGTTGCTGACGTGTGCTCTTCCCTGCTCTGCCCCTCTGCCCTGCCCTGTTCTATGCCACTGCTATGCCGTACCCCTGCTCGAAGGAGGGGGCCCACGCCCAGCGCCAGGCAGGGGACCTGATGGCAGCATCCTACATCAACTTCTACCTCCCAAACGGTCAGCGCACCGCTGTGCACCACACTCGGTTCGCTTTCCTGCCTGCCTGTGTCCCCTTTTCGTGGCTGCTCCGTTCGCACACTCCGTCCTGATATGTTGCAGTCACCCATGTCTTTCGAGGACCTTTGTTTGTTTTGTTTGGTTCCCTCGCCTCCCCCCCCTCCCCCCCTCTTCTTTAGAGCATGTATCATCAACATCGGTTTCTATCCCTGGCCTTTGAGTGCATTGCTGCAGGTGCAGTTGTGGTGCCTACATTTGGCATCCCATCCAGTGACCAGCGTGCGTTTGAAGTGCTACAAAAGGTTTTTCCGGACCGTGAGGTGCGTGTGTTAAGTCCTCCGGTTGGGCGCTTGGCAATTTGTATAGATGTGATTACCGCAAGTGCCAGACATTCATTTTTTTCAGGCGAACGGTTCTGTTTCAATTTCAGGTGCTCTGTTTCTATTTCAGGTGATAATGATGCCAGAAGGTCGAGAGGTTCTTCTTGGCGGTGGAAATATCCATTGCATTACACAGCAACAGCCCGCATGAGATTCTTGACTGTCTCACTGGAAACATGATATTCTCACCATGATGTATATATTAGATCTAGATGGTCTTCACCCCAGTTGCTGAGCCTACGAGTCACTGCGGTGTACAAGTATTCATAGTGAACCCTACGCATCAGTTAAAATTGCGTACATGACACTCCCTGGATTGGGCGCACCGATAGAGGGCTGCGGAGCCCCAGATTGGTTCAGTGTCACATGTCACCATCTCATCAATCTGAAGATCGCTGCATGCTGGCAGGCGCGCAAGGGAGCCCCTTTAGCGGAGTTGTCGACGCGGACTGACCGAGGGAAGAGGGAAGCGATGCACAGACAATGCCGGAGTGTCGCGCGGGGTTTTGGGGGAAGCGGAAAAAGAAAATAGGGGATGTGCGCAGAATGCCTGTTTTGCACGGGGGTGGAACAGAGGAGGGGGATGATCGAGTGGAAGCAAGGGTTTTTGCTCTCCTGTCTCGTTCAGTTCTCTTTCTCTCGCTGCCTCTTTGGTGGCACCTGCTTTCTCTCTCCTTCCTCCAGTCACCAGAGAGAATTCTCTTGTTCTCTCACGTGGCCGTACTTAGTCGATTAGTCTATCCCTAGCGCTGGCACCTAGGCCGTGTTTATAAAACTTAGAGCCCATACACACTGCGGCCGTGCATGGCTCGCGTGCACTAACTGGTCCGTGTCTCGCGCCACCGCCGTTCTGTGAGCGTCCGGGAAGGTAGAGCAGGAGTGCAATGGCGACGCAAAACCCCTTCGCGCTGCTTGATGGAGACGACAATGACGACCCCCAGGCCCTGCTGTCCCGCGTCGCGGCCGAACCTGTGAAGGTCGACGCGAGCAAGAAGGCTGCCGCTAAGGGCGCCAAGCCCGCCCCTGCTGCTGGTAACGAGGATTCTTAACCCTGGCTTTATTTCGTGCTTCATTTCGTGTTTTTTTTTTCCGTTCCTTTCATTATTCTCCTTTTCGGTTGTCCCGATGCACCGTTGGTTGTCGATGCGGATCGTTGGCATGCACTGAAGGCCTTGACCATTTTCGTTTGCTCGTCTCGTATGGTTGACCTGCTGGGCTTTCTCGCCATTCACTTAGTGTGTGTCCGTATGTTTTCTAGGTTAGGCATTTTCCTGCTTCATCGTTCTGTGACCGATAGTATCAACTTCCTAGGCTTGGTAATACTGGCTCCAGTTTTTTCGGATCTGCCTGCTGGATTTACTGGCAAGGATTCTCGTTTAGTCAACTCAATGCCCGGGTTTCCATTCCCTCCCTCCCGATCCTCCCGCTACTTTATCTTAGCCAAGCCTGCTGCTGCTACCACTGCGCCTGCTCGCTCCGGCTACAACCGCGGAGGTCGCGGCGGCGGTCGCGGCGGATACGGCGGACGCGGTGGCGACTACCAGACGTTCAACGAGCCGCGCGACAATGGCCGCGCGTTCATCGCGGAGCGCCAGGTGCGCGGGGAGGACGGCGAGATCCGCTCGTCGTTCGACCAGCACCACCACGGCGACCTCCGGAGAGGCGGCGGAAGGGGGGGAGGGCGCGGTCGCGGCTATGGGCGCGACGGGGGCCAGCGCCGTCCGCACCGCGAGTTTGACCGCATGAGCGGCACTGGCCGTGGCGGGTACGTGCGGTGGTGGCCTCAAGGGGGCTTTGAGTGGGTTGGGAGGAAGTGGGCGAGGGCGGGGGAGGGGGGATGGAGGGTGTTGTTGCCCCTCATTGTTCTTTGGTCGTGAATGCTGTTGGAACCACGCAGTTATCAATAGCCATCCTTATTTTGCGGCACCCGCCGGCCGACTCCCCGTTGTGCAAACGGCGGAGCCGTTTCGCCCCGTTGCTGGCCATTTCGACCCGCCATTCCGGTCCGCCATTTCGCCCTGCCATAACGGTCCCCCGTTTTGCCCCGTCGCTCAGTGCCCCTCCGCTGTCTCCCTCCGCCCCGTGTTGCGCGCAGGGAGATCAAGCGCGAGGGGGCTGGCCGTGGCAACTGGGGCAGGGAGGGCGAATACCTTGGCGAGTAATGCGCCTCTCCCTTTACCCTTCCGCTCGCGTTTTTTTCTCTTTTCAAAACCTTGCCGCGCCTTACTGTCTTTCCAAGCTGACTTTCCCCCGACACCGACCCCTCATCCTATCATGGCTTGATTCTGACCCCCGGTCTTGCTGCTGCGTTCGCGTTTCCCTCCCCCCTTCGTGTCTTTCTCTCTGATTTAATCCACTTGTTTTCCTCGAAATCGTCCTTTCTTTGTTCGTCTCTGTACCGTGCTCCTGCGCCCACCCGCCGTTTTCTCAATCACACTGTTCTCCTGCGCCGTTCCTGTTTCCCTCTTCAGTGAGACCGTCGCGCCCGCATCCGGGGAGGCGGAGCCGAAGGCGGAGGGCGAGTCGGCGGAGGCGGCCGCGGAGGTCGCAGCGCCGGAGCCCCCTGTGCTGAGCGAGGAGGAGCTCGCAGCCCAGGAAGCTGCGCGGAAGGAGAAGGAAGAGGAGGAGAAGGTAAATTACCCACTTAGTTCCGAAGATATCCATCGGATTTTCACCTTCGTGCATTTTATTCCGCATCCGTGCATCCATCTCTCCGCCCCTATTCCCGCCCGCTCGTACCCCCGTCTTGTTTTTCCATCTCCCCTGTCCCACCGTCTCCGCCCCTGCCCGCACCCCGCTCCGTCTCCATCCTCGTTCCGTCCCCGTGGCCGTTCCAACCCGCCCCCCCTCGCCGGTGCGTGCGTGCGCGCAGCAAATGACGCTGGAGGAGTACGAGAAGGTGCTGGAGGAGAAGCGCAAGGCGCTGGCGGCCAGCAAGGCGGCGGCGCGCGTAGTGGAGGTGGACGAGGAGATGGCCAAGATGACGCTCAAGAAGAAGCCCGAGGGCGACGACGTCTTCGTCAAGCTGGTCCGTGCCCTCTCTGCCCTCTCTACCCCTGCTGCTCCCAGTGTTGTCTTTGCTCTTCATGCTGTCTCTGCCGCCCATTCTGTCTCCTGTGCCCCGGATTAGCTTGGCATGTTCCCTGCTTCCGTTTTCTCATTGTGTCCCAACTCGTCCTCCTTTCCTCGTTCCGTGCGTCGTGCGTGGGTGTGTTCATGTTTGTACTTCGGTGCCGCCCGGTACGTGCCGGTTCGGGTTGGTGCATTTTGTCGGTGGGTATTTTTGGCAGGGAGAGGATAAGGAGAAGGCGGCGAGGAAAAAGGATGAGGACCGTCCCAAGACGGTGAACATCAACGAGTTCCTCAAGCCAGCGGACGGCCAGACCTTCCATTACCGCAACCCCCGTGGCGGTCGCGGTGGCGGTCGCAGCGGCGGCCGCTACGGTGGCGGCGGCCGTGGCTATGGCGGGCGGCCGGCTGATGCTCCTCCTCTGGACCAGTCTCAGTTCCCCTCGTTGGCATAGACGTGGAGTGAAGTGGAGGAAGGGGGAGTGGGGAAAGGGAGTGAGGGAGTTACGCTTGTGGTGTGGTGAGACCTTGTGCTCTGACCAGCGTGCTGGCTGGCCGGCTGGCTAGTAGTTCAATCCTGGGCTGCTGGTTGTCCAGTAGAATGGGCGAGAAAGGGGGAGGGCGTTACTAGGTGGGCATGGCCTCGGTTCATAGTAGTGCATGTGTGGACTGGTTTGCTGAGGAGCACTAGGCGTAGTGTAGCTTTGTGGCTGGCACTGCTGCAGTGGCTCTAGTGGCAATTGGAGGGCAAAATTCATGGTACTGTGGTGGATGGATTGGGTGATTTTTGTGCTTGGGTTCTTACTCTTTTTAGACACGTGAATGGCTTGAAATTGGTGTTGGAACTCTTGTGATGCAAACAGAATGGTTTGCCATGAAAAAATATGTAACGGGTTTGTTATCATGGTTACTAGTCTGAAACGATATAATTTCGCTAACGAGTACAGACGCTCTTTCCTAATTCATGCCAAAATCCTGGCCTTCTGGTGCTGTCTGTGTTGCTCCGCTCCGCCAGATGCGGTAAATCTGCTACTATTGCCACCAAGCATATTTCCATCCTCCTATTGTCGCTTGCTGCCGAACATACGTCGAGCGCTAATCGCCGATTTTTCTTTCCGTTTCTTTCCCGTTAAGCGCTAGCGTATCGATCGACCGCGAATATTCTCTGTGATACCGTGTCGTGTACGCCATGTCGTCGTCTAGTGGCCTGACCTTCAAGCTTCACCCGCTCGTTATAGTCAACATGTCAGATCACTACACGCGCGTTAAAGCGCAGCAAGGAGGCGTGCCTTCCCGCGTGGTAGGATGTCTCCTAGGCGTGCAGTCGGGTCGCGTTGTAGAGATCTTTAATTCGTTTGAGGTAATTTACGAGTCGCGAGGCGGCGACGGTGCTGGGAGCAGCAGCAATCCGCCAGAAGCCATGGATGGCGGCTCGGGCGAACCTGAAATCGTAATTGATCGAAGTTTCCTCACTGTCAAGATGGAACAGTGTACGCGTTACTAGTATCAGTGGATGAGCACATTTTAAGCATCCTCATGCTTCTCGCAGCATCGCAACAACGTAAACAACGCCGCGTTTGATTTGCCAAATTCCCGTAATCCTCCACCGCGCTTCGCGGATCCAATCACCCTGATCTGGCTACGTTGTGCTATTGCTAACGTCACATATCCCTCCTTCCCTATTCCTTTCTTGCCGTAATCGCTCCCTCCCGCCTCTAATCACACCCCACCTCCCCCTCTCCCTCCCACACCCCCCCCTCATCACCCCCCTTACCCCTCCCCTTCCCGACTCCCCGTTCCGCCCCCCCCGGGCCTCTCTCCCCCGGTTCTGCGCGCGCGCGCGCCCGGGCGCAGACAAGAAGGTGTTTCCCAAGTACGACGTACTGGGGTGGTACTCCACAGGCACGGACGTGCGCCCCGCCGACATGCACGTGCACAAGGCGGTGAGCGCCTGTGGGGCTGTGGGGCTGTTGGGGTGCTGGGTTGCTGGGTTGGCATGGCATGGTTGCATGGGCATACGGCGGAGAGAGTCACACCCCATGTACCCATGCACACAGGCGGATATGCATCCATATCCATGAATGAGTCGCATTGCCCCATCCACCATGCGATGCACATACATGCTACTTTGTACTCAACCTCTTACTCAACCTATTATTCCATCCATCCATTCACCCACCCTCCATCCACCAACTCGCCCACCCACCCACCCATCCACCCATGCAACCCCATGCACCCCCATGCACCCCCATGCACACCCATGCACCCCCATGCACCCATGCACACCCATGCACTCCCATGCACCCATGCACCCCCATGCACCCCCATGCACCCCCATACACCCCCATGCACCCATGCACCCCCATGCACCCCCATGCACCCCCATGCACCCCCATGCACCCCCATACACCCCCATGCACCCATGCACCCCCATGCACACCCATGCACCACCGCCCACCCGTGCGGGCAGCTGATGGACATCAACGAGAGCCCCATCTATCTGCTGCTCAACCCCGCCATCAACCCGGCCGGAAAGGACCTCCCCATCTCCATCTTCGAAAGCGGTATGCTTCATACCATACCATGCCTGCCATTGCCAGCACTACCATATCTGTCACTCCCCATGCCTGCCTGCCATGCCCTCCCCATGGATGCCCTGCCTTTTGAATTTATATTCAAGAGTCAAGACCTATACTGCACACACTTTGAAGGATTCCGCCACATGTTTTTCGCTGCTGTTATCCTCCTGTCCCGCAAGCCGTTTCTCCCTCCCTCATGCTCTTATCTCCCACTCTCTTGCTCCCTTCTCCCTCCTTCTTGCTCCTTGCTCGCTCCCTCGTGTTCCCTTCTCCCTCCCTCATGCCCTCTCATCCCTAATGCCCTACCCTCCCTCATACCCTCCCTCCCTTCCCTCTCCCCCTCATGCACACATCAGAGCTGCATGTGATAGACGGTGTGCCATCTCTCATCTTCGTCTCCTCCACATACACCATCGAGGTATTACACCTTGCCACCACGTCACTACTACTTTTGAGTCGACTCAAAAGTCACTCATCTTCGTCTCTTCCACATACACCATTGAGGTATTACTGATTGCCTCGCCACTACTACTGCTGCCACCACCCCCACCAACCCCACCAATTCCACCAACCCTATCGCCCCACCAACCCCCCACTACCACCGCCCGCGCCCCCTGCCGCCGCCAGGAGCAGCGGTACCAGCTGCATTGCCATTTGCTTTGCTCTCGCACATGCACCTATGCTGCAAGAATTTTGTCTCCACCATGTGAGGATGCACAAAAGCATTGCACAAGAGTGGTGGGAGAGCGGACAACTAAGGGAAGGGGGTAATGAAAGGGAATCGTGTCAACCTGTTTTTCCCTCCACCCCATCTCCATCCCCCTTGTCTGGGCATGTGTGTGCATGTGCATCCGTGTGCATGTGCATGTCCGTGTGCATGTGCATGTGCATGTCCATGTGCATGTGCATGTGCATGTCCATGTGTGTGTGAGGGATTGGGGCCAACAGACGGTGGAAGCAGAGCGCATATCAGTGGACCACGTGGCACACATCAAGCCGTCCGATGGCAGCTCAGCAGCCACTCACTGTGAGCCACCAGGGGTGCCATGCCACGCCAAACCATGCCATACCACGCCATACCACGCCATATCAGGCTATACCAGGCCTTCATTCGGTAAAAAGCGTGATGTCCATGCACATGTTCAGGTATGCACATGTTCAGGTATGCACATGTTCATGCATTCACATGCTCATGAATTCACATGCTCATGCATGCATATGCTTGGGCATTCGTCCTCTCTGTTCTTGTATGTGCAGTCCATTCTGGTCTATGTGCTGTGCTTGTCTTCACCACTCCCGTGCATGTGTGCCATCCACGCACACGCATGTGTGTGTGTATGTTTTGGTGTCTATCTCTGTGTATGATTGCTTGCTCATGCATGCCTCTCCCCCCTGTATGCCCCTGTGCCCCCTGTGCGCCCACTATCTGCCCATGTGCGCATGGTAGTGGCAGCGCACCTAACAGGGATGCATAGTGCCATCAAGATGCTAACCACGCGGGTCAGACTACTGCACAGCCATCTAGCCGCCATGGAATCAGGTACTGTCCCTACCCAAGCAAGCCAAGAGCCAAGCCAGCCAGCCCAAGCCAAACCGAGCCTAAGCGAAGCTAAACCGAGCCGCATCCAAGCTATACCGAGCCTAAGTCAAGCCAAATCGAGCCAAGCCCAAACCGTTTTTGCACAGTATCCCTCGACATGTTCCCTCTCTCCATCACTCCCCCCTCCCCTCCCCAATTTCTTCCCTCTTCCCGCTTCTCCCTTCTCCTATTCACCTTTCACCAATTTTCCCCCATTGCTGCTAGGTGACTTTTGAGTCGAGTCAAAAAATTCCCTCCTTGATGCTCTTCCCTATCGCATCCCCTTTCTCCCTCGTTCTCCCCTTCCCTCCTCCCTCCCCCACCCGTCCTCGTTCTCCCACCACCATCTCTCTCTGTGTCCCCTTGTCCCACCCCCAACTGTTCCCCTCTGCACCCGTCAGGTGCAGTGCCGTACGACCACTCGGTGACGCGCCAGGTGTCCAGCCTCATCCGCAGGCTGCCAGCTGTCGACTCCGACCGCTTCCACCGCCATTTCCTCACCGTGCGCCCTCCCCTCTACTCTATACCACCCCCCTGCACACCCCCCCTGCACCGCCCCCCTGCACCACCCCTCTACACCACCCCTCTACACCACCCCTCTACACCACCCCTCTCAACCACCCCTCTACACCACCCCCCTATACCACCCATTTTCTCCCTCCCGCTCCCCTTTGTTCCCCACCCATGTACTTACTCACCTGCCCACCCACCCACTCACTCCCACACCCCTGCCGACAGGCTGACTGTACACCTGCCGCTGTTACCCTTCCCACTGTCGTCCCTCCTTTTCGTCATTCCGCTTGCCCTGGTCCTCCATTTCATCTATATACTTTGTTTCAGTACACTCTCTTATCTCCGTTTAATCTGTATGCTTTGTTTCAACACACTCTCTTCTCTCCGTTTCATGTAGACACTTTGTCTCTTTTTAACTCCTCTATAATCCTTTTTCTGTCTGTCTACTCCCCAACTATTGCCCTTCTACAGGAATTCAATGATACACTCCTCATGACATACCTCGCCAGTATCACCAAATCAACTAAGTACGTCATTTATCCATCATTTTCCTCTTCCAAACTCCCTCCTCTTCCGTTCCCCACTCGTTTCCTCACCGCTTCCATCCCCCACCCGTTTCCCTCTTTGCTTTCCATGCAAACTCGTTTCCATTTCACGTTCGTTTGTCCTCCGCTGCACTGCTCGCCTCGCCCCGTCCATCATTTACTGCCTCCCATTCTCCCTGTGACCCTGCCATATGGCCGTGCAGCACGATAAACGAGCTAGTGGACCTATTTGATGTGGTGTATGACAAGCAATCGCGCAGAGCAGCTCGCACAGCGTTTGTCTAGAGCCGACTGGCCATACGATACCAGTAACCTCGACGGCACATAGAGCTCGGTCGAGCGATTCATATGCTTACTGTATTCGTAGTACGATGGGATACGCTTACATGCCACTTGGTGCGATTGCACACAAGCTGAGCGCCTGTTTTCTAACTTCGATTATTTCTTATACAGAGGCGGTAGTGGCACTTAGCATGTAATGCGCTTTTATCTCTTGACTTGAGCATGTGGTGGGCTCCTTCTCTTCATGAAGCAAAACAGGCCTTGCTTTGTGATGTTCATAACTGAAGAAGGGCAGGTAGGCGGAGTGCAGGAGGAACGAGAGCAAATGTTTAGTAGCGCAAAGGGAAGAGGGTCCTTCTCATCAATGTTTTAGGTACTAGATACTGGCTATTTGTTTATTTTTTACTTCAACCTGTGTGCAGTGCACTTGCAAATGGAAACTTCAAGTCCACACCTTTTGTGATACACACATCTTTCCCCTAAATCCTTCTACAGTTCAAAGCCCATCTCTTACCGGACCTGCCTCTGTTCTTTCCCAACTCCGTCTCACTACCATTGTCTGCTCTGAATGACTTTCTTACACGATTCAAGACGATTATTATTGAACATTTCCTATGCACACAGAAAATACGTCACTAACAAAATCAAAGAAATGAAACAATGGTAAGTAACAGCCTCACAAAGGAGGCCGGAAAAGTGTTGCTGGAAGTCGAGGCGCGCTGCAAAACAGTCCCTCTTGACGGCATCCGTCAACTGGGCGCTTATTCTTCCTAAAGCACTATCTCGAAGCACAGGTGTATAGTGCGTGGCAGCGAGCCGCGCCACAACCTTTGACATTGGAACTACATTCAACCAGTTTTCCGGAGAATAGATAGCAGTTGCTTTGCCTGAAACGACACGGGCAGTGGGAGAACGGGATAGAGGTAATTAATAGGGTGTTCGGTAAGCTTAGAGGTACGAGAAACGTTCTGTGAGGCCAAAAAAAAAAAAAAAAAAAAAAAAAAACATATACAAGCAAGTACGGTTGAGAAACCTATATCTGCTTACCTTTTCTCGTGCACGAGCCGTGCCCGTCTGCGTGATCCCAACGAGTGGGGGAATCACCACCTCCATAAGGATGGCCGTTCGATGCGCTTCGCTGTGATACGCCAGCTGAAACAGCACCACTGTAGCGTGCTCCTTGCCTCGCGGCGTGCCCGCCTCGAGCATTTCCACCAGATGCAGCACCGCATCCTCCTCCTCCATCACCGCGTCTCGTCCCGCCTCCACCGTTACCACATTCGCCAGAACCGCCGCCGCCTTTTCCGCGGTTCCGCTGTTGGAGTGGGCAAGTAAATCGACCAGGGCCGGAACACCGCTCGCCTCCAAAACGCGCGTCTTATTGCAGCTCGCCATGGAGAGATTAAAGAGCGCTTTACACGCGTCGCGCTTGCCCTGTGGCGAGCCGAACCGCAGGATCTCTACCAATTGCGCCACGGCGCCCGCGTCGCCGGCGGCCACTTTAACGTCGTCCTCCACCGAGAGACTGAAAATGGCGGCGGCGGCGGTTTCCCGAACAACCATGGGCTGAGCAGCGCTGGCAAGTGCGCGGACGAGGGGGAGGAGGATCTTAGATAGGAGGAGCCGCCTATTGGAATCATTTGTGGTAAGATTCAAGAGGGCAATCACCGCTTCCTCCGAAACGCCGTCGCTCGGCTCCGATAGTAGATCAATCAGCTCGTCGACGACCCCCTCCGCGGCGACAAGTAACGTGCGGTGCGCGTTGGATTCCTTCGACAACGCGCGCAGCGTCCTTGCGCCGTGGAGCCGCCGAGTCGTGTCGGCGGAGCGGCAATCCGCCAAGATTGCGGTGATTTCGAGTTCGGAAAGGTCCTCTGCGGATACGACGGGAACCTTGGGCGGAGGAGGGGGAGCGACGAGCTCTGGCGCGAGTTTCGCAAGGTTGTCGCGGTGCTGTTGTAACTCGTTCGTGGAGGAACAGTCTTTCGGCACATGCACCATCACGCCGGAATAATCCGTGCCTGCTTTGTCTATCGATAGACCGGATCGCGCGCCTGGTTGGAACGGTAGTTCTCGCGATCCGGGATACGCGCTGACGCCAAGCGCGCGTACCTCAACCTCCTCGCGCGTCATGATGCCCGTGGGGTGCGGCTGAAGGCGAGGGGACGGCGGCGGGAGTTGCGGTGAGGCGGGAGCCACAATTTGAGGGGATTTAGCTTCGGAGGCCGGAGGTAGGCTCGCTTTCGAAGGAGGAAGGGGGGTAGGAGTACGGCTTTTCTTCGAGCGAGTGAGGACCTCCAATGCTCTCATGGCGTAATGCCCTGGAATCGGGAGAGAAATGCTGGGACTGAGGCACCACCGTTGCGAAAGATTCTGCGGAGAAGAGCAGTGGTGCTCAGATTGGCGCGCGCTAGATAGGGAACGAATATGATAATTCTGATCGGTCCACCCACGGGTTTTTGAAGGCGATCGGTGGTTCGCCCAGACAGACTCACAGTCACTGAAGACACGGGAGGAGAGCGCGCGCTTCGTAACAGTACCACAGCTTATGCTGAGGTGGCACTGGGAGGCAGGGATGCCAGCCAGTGAATGAATCGAGTGAGCTGGGCTAGGCCTGGGGGGAGTGAGCTGAGGAAGGCGAGAAAGTCGTGTTCAAGGCGAGGGGGGGACAGGGAGCGGGGGAGTGAGGGAGGGAGGGAGTCGGTGGTGCAGTGAGCGGAGCTGTACAGCGGTACACATGATGCTCACCCCCTGCACGCGAAATTTCACCAGATGGAAACCTTGCGCCCATGGGTTTTGTGCCGTGAGGTTGCGCCCACGTTACAAGCACGTCGACCAATACGAACGACAGAAACTGAAGTCTGACTGAAGAGACTGCAGTCAAACAGTCAACATTGAGTTACAAAAGTTTTATATAAGCCCTTTTTTCCCGAAGCGAATTGACGAAGCCTCCGCGCAATGCAAGAATCGCTTATAAGCCCAGAGGGTAATGCAAGGTCGGGGGACTCAACCGGACATCGTGTGTAATGTGCAGCGGGCCAGCAGCAACAGCTGCCCAGCCCAGCAGCGAGGGGGAACGGGGCAAGGCGGCCCGTCCCCCTGCCCGATCAGCGGTCAGAGAACTTGGAACATGGAGGAAGCGACATTGAAACAGTGAATACGAATCCCATGTCTTGCGACGCGCGATCGAGCGTCAACCGTACAACCCTCTCCCTCGCACTTGGCCCCTTGATTTCATCGAGGCCAGATCGCAGATTGTGGCTGAGCGTGATCGCGCAGCGAGAACCCCAATATTTTTGCAGGGACTGTGTACTTGTCCTCAATGCCTTGAAATGGCTGTCTCGATGAAATTGCTGCTTTGCTCCGATTCGTCAGTTCACGTGGATCTACCACCTCAGACTGTACAGCCTGGAAGCTCTTTCCTAACGTTGTAGGTCAGGGCTTTGGGGTCTTGTCGACCCTTGATTACAAAATGAACCTAGAGGGTCATGCGGCACTGATTCAGGATACGAGCAGGGCTGAACTGTGCGGCCCAAATTGTAGCAGAGGGGTTACGATACACCAGCTGCCTTCTGCGGTGGCAGCTTGTTAAAAATCACAATGAACAGAGTTCTCTAGACGCGGATAAAAATCCAGCATGATGGTAGAACGCACAGTGGCTTCTCACTGATGGTAGATTTTTGGGTTGCGTAGCAACCCTATATAATCAGTTTCACTTTTTGGGGATATCATTTCAAAAGTGATTTTTAAAGCACTCTTTGGAGCACCCGCTTTAACTTTTTTGCCACCGTGTTCAAGAGAACGCCTCCAATAGTGAATAAAAATCACTCTTGAATGAGATCCCATAAGTGAAACCAATTACACATCATGTTGAAACCATGAATTTGTTCCGACCGTCCCAGCTCGTCGATAAATACGGCGGATGGTTCGATCGAACATGGCATCAACATAAACGGATGCACTTGAACAAACGAACAGGGTATGAAGTGTGATACGGATGCTTAAAAAAGTGTTACAATGCATCAATGTAGCAATAGAGATTGATGGGGCCGTTGAAACAACGAATACACGCTGCACCAACGACGATGACAACCTCTAGTTGCATACACGATACATTGGAACACCTCGTCTTGAAACACACACATCTCACAAACACGAATGCAAACGTCACGAAAAAAGTTGTGACGACATCAAAATGGATGCTTAATAGGCAGCAATGCTACAACTGGGATTGATGGGGTCGTTGAGACAGTGAAAACCCACTGCCCCAACGACGATGACAACCTCAGCTGCAAACACGATGCATACCAGCACCACACCCTGAAATAATCACAACCAACCAACTGACACAGACACAAGCACACACACCCAACACACACACACACATACACACACACACACACACACACACACACACACACACACACAAACACACACACACACACACACACAGAGATGCATACAGATACCGGTAATAAACACGCAACCATCGCGAATTGAATCCAGTTACCATTCATAAATCATCGCTAGCCTATCCCCTCTTCTTTACCTTCCCTACACCCCTCCTTCCCTCCCTCCCTCATCTCCCTCCCACCCCCTCCCTCATCTCCCTTCTCTGCCAAACAAAATCAGAGAATGCAGCTCACGCGCCCTGCACAAAGCAAAAACAGAAAATAAATTTCCACACCCTGCACAAGAAAAGGGAAAAAACAGAGAATGATCACACACTCTGTGCAGAAAAGCAATAACAAATATACTGTAACTAACGTGCCCTGCGAGGAGGCCAAGCAGGAAACGCAACTCACCCGTAGAAAGCAAAGACAAAGAGTACACCTCACAGCATTGCACAAGAAAACAAAAACAGAGAATGCAGCTCACACATGCACTAGAAACGAAATAAGAACAATAGAAAACGTATAGATCAATCAAAGACGAGCAATGGAAATTGGTATCAGTCGTGGTGCCACAGTTCGCCGGGATGATGCAATACCTTGCAGCCACCCTCGCGTTCAGCTTCATCCTCATTCTTGTACTCAATCTCGCACCCACACACACGCTCAAACACTCTCATTTTTTTTACAAACATACAAATGTACACACTCATATTTGCACAAACCCTCGCACTCCTGATCGTTCTCATTCACAATAACACTCTCACACCAACATACAGGCGCACGCAAACACATTCACATGCAACTTTGCATTAACACTCGCACTTGCTTTCGCACTCACCCTAGCACACACAGTCGCACGCACTCTCGCTCTCACCCTTGCACGCATACCCACTCATCCTCACGCTCTCTCACTCGCTCTCTCATGCGCTCTCTCACGCACACTCTCACGCGTACTCTCACGTGCACTCTCACGCGCCCTCTCTCGCGCGCTCTCCCTCGCTCTCTCGCGCGCACTCTCACGCACACTCTCACGCGCACTTTCACGTGCACTCTCACGCGCACTCTCACGCGCACTCTCACGTGCACTCTCACGCGCTCTCTCACGCGCTCTCTTACGCGCTCTCTCCCGCGCTCTTTCACGCGCTCTCTCACGCACTCCCTCACACGCACTCTCACGCGCACTCTCACGCACTCTCTCACGCGCTCTCTCACACGCTCTCTAACGCGCACTCTCACGCGTCTCCCATGCGCACTCTCATGCGCTCTCTCACGCGCTCTCACACGCGCTCTCTCACGCGCTCTCTCACGCGCTCTCTCACGCGCTCTCTCAAGCGCTCTCTCACGCGCTCGATCACGCGTTCTCTCACGCGCTCCCTCATGCGCTCCCTCACGCGCTCCCTCGTGCACTCTCTCACGCGCTCTCACACGCACTCTCATGCGCACTCTCACGCGCACACTCACGCCCTCACTCATGCGCTCTCTCACGCGCTCTCTCACGCACACTCTCACGCGCACTCTCACGTGCACTCTCACGCGCTCTCTAACGCGCACTCTCACGCATCCCCCATGCGCATTCTCACGCACTCTCTCATGCACTCTCTCACGCGCTCTCTCCCGCGCCTCTAACGCACTCTCGCACGCGCTCCCTCACACGCTCTCTCACGCACACTCACGCACACTCACGCGCTCTCTCACGCGCTCTCTCACACGCACTCTCACGCGCTTTCTCGCACACACCCTCACGCGCTCTCTAACGTGCACTCCCACGCGTCTCCCATGCGCACTCTCACGCGCACTCTCACGCACTCTCTCACGCGCTCTCTCACGCGCTCTCTCATGCGCTCTCTCACACGCTCTCTCACGTGCCTCTCACGCGCACTCGCACGCGCACACTCACGCGCTCTCGCACGCGCTCTCTCACGCGCTCTCTCACGCGCTCTCTCAAGCGCTCCCTCACGCGCTCTTGCACGCGCTCTCTCACGCGCTCTCTCACACGCTCACTCAAGCACTCCCTCACGCGCACTCTCATACACACTCTCACGCGCTTTCTCGCGCGCTCTTTCACGCGCTCTCTCAAGCGCTCCCTCACGCGCTCCCTCACGCGCTCCCTCATGCAATCTCTCACGCGCTCCCTCACGCGCTCTCTCATGCGCTCTCTCACGCGCACTCTCACGCGCACACTCACGCCCTCACTCACGCGCGCTCTCACGCGCTCTCTCACGCGCTCTCTCACGCGCTCTCTCACGCGCTCTCTCACGCGCCCTCTCATGCGCTCTCTCACGCGCTCTCTCACGCGCCCTCTCACGCGCCCTCTCACGCGCTCTCTCACGCGCTCTCTCACGCGCACTCTCACGCGCACACTCTCGCGCTCTCGCACGCCCTCTCTCACACGCTCTCGCACGCGCTCTCTCACTCGCTCTCTCAAGCGCTCCTTCACTCGCTCCCTTACGCGCTCCCTCACGCGCTCTCTCATGCGCTCTCTCACACGCTCTCTCAAGCGCTCCCTCACGCACTCCCTCACGCACTCCCTCACGCAATCTCTCACGCGCTCCCTCACGCGCTCTCTCACGCGCACTCTCACGCGCACACTCACGCCCTCACTCACGCGCACACTCACGCGCTCTCTCACGCACTCTCTCACGCGCTCTCTCACGCGCTCTCTCACGCGCTCTCTCAAGCGCTCCCTCACGCGCTCCCTCACGCGCTCCCTCACGCGCTCTCTCATGCGCTCTCTCACGCGCTCTCTCACGCGCTCTCTCAAGCGCTCCCTCACGCGCTCTTGCACGCGCTCTTGCACGCGCTCTCTCACACGCTCTCTCAAGCACTCCCTCACGCGCACTCTCATACACACTCTCACGCGCTTTCTCACGCGCTCTTTCACGCGCTCTCTCAAGCGCTCCCTCACGCACTCCCTCACGCGCTCCCTCATGCAATCTCTCAAGCGCTCCCTCACGCTCTCTCTCATGCGCTCTCTCACGCGCACTCTCACGCGCACACTCACGCCCTCACTCACGCGCGCTCTCACGCGCTCTCTCACGCGCTCTCTCACACGCTCTCTCACGCGCTCTCTCACGCGCTCTCTCACGCGCCCTCTCATGCGCTCTCTCACGCGCTCTCTCACGCGCCCTCTCACGCGCCCTCTCCCGCGCTCTCTCACGCGCTCTCTCACGCGCACTCTCACGCGCACACTCTCGCGCTCTCGCACGCCCTCTCTCACACGCTCTCGCACGCGCTCTCTCACTCGCTCTCTCAAGCGCTCCTTCACTCGCTCCCTTACGCGCTCCCTCACGCGCTCTCTCATGCGCTCTCTCACACGCTCTCTCAAGCGCTCCCTCACGCGCTCCCTCACGCACTCCCTCACGCAATCTCTCACGCGCTCCCTCACGCGCTCTCTCACGCGCACTCTCACGCGCACACTCACGCCCTCACTCACTCGCACACTCACGCGCTCTCTCACGCGCTCTCTCACGCGCTCTCTCACGCGCTCTCTCAAGCGCTCCCTCACGCGCTCCCTCACGCGCTCCCTCACGCGCTCTCTCATGCGCTCTCTCACGCGCTCTCTCACGCGCTCTCTCAAGCGCTCCCTCACGCGCTCTTGCACGCGCTCTTGCACGCGCTCTCTCACACGCTCACTCAAGCACTCCCTCACGCGCACTCTCATACACACTCTCACGCGCTTTCTCACGCGCTCTTTCACGCGCTCTCTCAAGCGCTCCCTCACGCGCTCCCTCACGCGCTCCCTCATGCAATCTCTCACGCGCTCCCTCACGCGCTCTCTCATGCGCTCTCTCACGCGCACTCTCACGCGCACACTCACGCCCTCACTCACGCGCGCTCTCACGCGCTCTCTCACGCGCTCTCTCACGCGCTCTCTCACGCGCTCTCTCACGCGCCCTCTCATGCGCTCTCTCACGCGCTCTCTCACGCGCCCTCTCACGCGCCCTCTCACGCGCTCTCTCACGCGCTCTCTCACGCGCACTCTCACGCGCACACTCTCGCGCTGTCGCACGCCCTCTCTCACACGCTCTCGCACGCGCTCTCTCACTCGCTCTCTCAAGCACTCCTTCACTCGCTCCCTTACGCGCTCCCTCACGCGCTCTCTCATGCGCTCTCTCACACGCTCTCTCAAGCGCTCCCTCACGCGCTCCCTCACGCAATCTCTCACGCGCTCCCTCACGCGCTCTCTCACGCGCACTCTCACGCGCACACTCACGCCCTCACTCACGCGAACACTCACGCGCTCTCTCACGCGCTCTCTCACGCGCTCTCTCACGCGCTCTCTCAAGCGCTCCCTCACGCGCTCCCTCACGCGCTCCCTCACGCGCTCTCTCATGCGCTCTCTCACGCGCTCTCTCACGCGCTCTCTCACGCGTTCGCTCCCGTGAACACGCTCTCCCTCTCGCTCCGTCTCTTCCCTTCTTCAAATGAAAGTGCAATGCAAGAAGAGACCAATTAATACATTACGAAGAAGCAAAAAAGGTAGATGAAAGGACCGGGAACGCACCTGATAACAACGGTGCCTCAGAAAACAACCCGCGCTTGCGCTCGTGCACCTGTCGCCGGAGGCGACGACGGGGAGGGAAGGAGAGGCGACGGCGGGGAGGAGGGAGAGGCGACGGCGGAGAGGAGGGAGAGGCGACGGCGGAGAGGAGGGAGAGGCGACGGCGGAGAGGAGGGAGAGGCGACGGCGGGGAGGAGGGAGAGGCGACGGCGGGGAGGAGGGAGAGGCGACGGCGGGGAGGAGGGAGAGGCGACCGCGGGGAGGAGGGAGAGGCGACCGCGGGGAGGAGGGAGAGGCGACCGCGGGGAGGAGGGAGAGGCGACCGCGGGGAGGAGGGAGAGGCGACGGCGGGGAGGAGGGAGAGGCGGCCGCGGGGAGGAGGGAGAGGCGACCGCGGGGAGGAGGGAGAGGCGACCGCGGGGAGGAGGGAGAGGCGACGGCGGGGAGGAGGGAGAGGCGACGGCGGGGAGGAGGGAGAGGCGACCGCGGGGAGGAGGGAGAGGCGACCGCGGCTGGGAGCGAGAGAGGGGCGATGGCGGGATGGGAGGGAGCGGCGACGACGGGGTGAGAGGGAGAGGCGACGGGGCGGAGTAAGGGAGAGGATATAGGGATGGGAGGAGAGGCGACGGCTGGGTGGGAGAGAGTGGCGGCGGCAAGGTGTTTGGTTCAGATGGTAGGCAAGTCGCGACTGCAGGTTTGGGAATGGGTGGGTTCGGAGGGAGAAGCACCTTGGTTGGGGAGAGGAAAGGGCATAGTATACTATCAAGAACCAAAGAACCAAGAACCAAGAAGTGACGCGTCGAATTCGAATTGGCAGGTGTGAAAGGGAAAAGATACACTATTTTCTCTTGACAATGACATCTAATATTTTGGGCCTATTCCCTTGTGACATTTTAAGGTGATATCATTCTGAAGCTGTCACATTGGCTATATGATGTTCTTGAAATAGGATTGTAGCCTTAGAACCACTCGATACTTGTCACCAACCAAAGATCGGAGATTGCAATGATTTTGTTTGTAATAATTATCTTTTCCTAGAAGGAATCAGCAAGCTTGTCCTAGTCTAAATAAAATGGACGAACATTATAATTTGCTTTCCGTATGTTCCATCATAATATTTCCATCATTATGTTCATATACGAGGAATACAACTCTACGCAACCCTTCCGACGTAAACGTCGAATCTTGTTGTTCTACAAAAATGTCATGATAATGCACATTTTGAAAGCCAGCAGAAAAAAACTAATATGATGATATTGTACAGGAGCTAAACAGTACGACAAGGCATTAGCAATCCTTGCCGTCCCGCTCAAGATTGTTGGAAACAATCGGTCTTAAGCGCCTCTGTCGTGTCGAAACACTAAGGCATAAATGAGGCAGAGCATATCGAAGCACCGGCGAGTCAACCCTCGGAGGTTGAAGTAACCGCTGGAAGTTACGGGAAGTCAAAGGTCAGCGACCTTTGACCTGACGAATACAGCGCGACAGCAAGGACACACAACTGACTCGCTACAGAGCAGTTGCCCGAGTCGTCACTGTATCGAACCGCAACAGCAACAGTAAAGTAGTTACAACCGTACCTTTTCGTATTCCTTGCACTCTTATATATATTCTTGTATCTCTTTGTTTTAATCAACTTACTTTGCCCTCACATACTAGTGCAAGGTGGTTCACAACTCTTCAATTAAACGCTTCCGCTACTACACCAACTCTACCCAGAGTTCACCCCTGCAAAGATCCTAAGGGCCTTGTTGGCTCAACATGGTATGAGAGCTATCAGGGGGAATTCAACTTCTATATCGTCAACATCAACAGACATGGCTACACAAAAGGAAAGGAGCAACTCCAACGGCTCCCAGGGCACTACTCCTACTCCACCTCCTGCCTCTGGCCTATAGACAGAGGAAGGCACGGCAACAAGACCCAGAGCAACATCTACCGAGACTCCCGCGAATCAGCCTGCAAACTTCGACCAGAACATGATGGAGAAGTTCTTCTCCTTCATGTCCTTCTACGAACAACACCAGCAATCGGCACCTGCGCAGTCACACAACAGCAACAACAACGGAGCAACACCCATGAGTCTCGACGGCTCATCATATGCACGAGGAAATCAACAACAGCAGCCTACCTTCGCTCCGTACGAACGCGGGTCCATCAGCTTTATGCCACACCCGCAGCCTTCACCTGGACAAGAAAAATCACTGGACGCATTACAAGTTCAGTCGCAGTTCGCACACGTTCTGAAGATGCAAACATCAAGACCATTCGACGGAAAGGACTTCTTCACCTGGTCGTTTGTGTCAAACATTATACATGTTCATATTGTGTAGGCTATAGTGGGTTTAGCCTTAGGGGGTACAACATTGCTAGGGTTTCCTACTTGTATCACCCTGCTGCCTAGTTTCACACATTCTCGTTCAGTTCTACATTCTAACATGGTATCACGAGCCTAGGTTGCTACCTAGGACCGCTTTCTCCTACGGGCCCACTATTCCGCTAGAAGCGCCCTCGTGCGCCCTACCTTACGTGCGCCCTCGTGCGCCTTTCTATACTCGTGCGCCCTCGTGCGCCCTACCTTACGTGCGCCCTCGTGCGCCCCCGTGCGACCTGCCCTTCGGTCTGCCCGCGTGCCGTCCTGCAGCCCTCGCGCTGCCTCCTGCAAGCTAGTACGGCCCTCGAGCCGCCCCTGCAGGTCCGTCAGGCCCCCGAGCCGCCTCTGCAGACCCGTCAGGCCCCCCCGAGCCGCCTCTGCAGGCCCGTCAGGCCCGAGAGCCGCCCCTGCAGCCAGCGCGCTGCCCTGCCGAGCCGCGTGTCGCCCGTGGGCGCTGCCTCTGCCCTGTCGCGCTGCCCTGAGGAGCCGCGCGCGACCCCCGCTATCCCGTCGCGTCGCCCTGGGGAGCCGCGCTCGGCCCCCGCTGCCCCGTCGCGACGCCCTGGGGAGCCGCGCTCGGCCCCCGCTGCCCTGTCGCGACGTCCTGGGGAGCCGCGCTCGGCCCCCGCTGACCCGTCGCGACGCCCTAGGGAGCCGCGCGCGACCCCCCGCTGCCCCGTCGCGACGCCCTGGGGAGCCGCGCGCGCCCCCCCCCCCCCCCCCCCCCCCGCTGCCCCGTCGCGGCGCCCTGGGGAGCCGCGCGCCCCCCCCCCCCCCTCGCTGCTGCCCGAGCCACCCTGCAGCCCGCGAGCCGCCTCTACAGCGCCGAGTGCGCTCTGCCAAACCCTAAAATAAATAATTAATTTAAAAAAAAAAAAAAGAAAAAAAAAGGGAGCAGCTGCCCCTGGCCCCTGGAGCAGCCGCCCCTGGAGCAGCCGCCCCTGCAGCAGCCGCCCCTGCAGCAGCTGCCCCTGCAGCAGCCGCCCCTGGACCTCTGCAGCCGCCCCTGGCCCCTGGAGCAGCCGCCCCTGCAGCTGCCGCGGAGCCCTCGCCCTGCAGTGGTAGCGGCCTCGCCGTTACCACCGTCGTACGCCTGCCCTTCTCGCCACTGGTGAGCACTGCCCTGCCCGTATTGCTGTTACTGCTGCTCCTGCTGCTACTGCTCTTTCTACTTCTACTGCTGCTCCTGGCGTGGCCAGATGCAGCTCCAGCGCCGTCCGCGTGAGTCCCTCACGCCCCAACAGCTTCGTGAGTGGTATGCTGGTTGGGGTTGTAGGGGTGGCCGCGCTGCTGCTACTACTACTGCTACTACTACTGCTACTGCTGCTCCTGGCGGTGGCCAGATGCAGCTCCCGCGACGTCCGAGTGAGTCCCTCACGCCCCAGCAGCTTCGTGAGTGGTACGCTCAGCGTGGAGGGTCACGGGGTACTGCTCGCTGCCCGTACGTCATTCGCACTGGTGCTCGGACTGGTCAGCCTTGCGGGACGTTTGGTCACACAGAGTCCCGCTGCTTCGCCCGTCTGAGCGACGCCTGGCGTACAGAGTTTGGCGACGCGACTGAGCTCCCCGACTGGGTGGAGCTGCTTAGGCAGAGGGTAGATATCTATGCTCTTGACTATGATGCTATCCTCACTGCCATGTATGCATTTCCTACTAGTGCTGAGAGTGCCTGTCACCTGTGTGTGCCGCCTGACCCCGGTATCCAGTCTACTGCTCTAGGTACTGGTGAGGCTGCTGCACTAGGTGCTCGTGTGTCTGTTGCCCCAGGTGCTGGTGAGGCTGCTGCTCTAGGTACTCGTGAGTCTGCGCCCTCTGGTACTGCGTCTACTGAGGCACTGCACACCTTCACACTGGACTCAGGCGCTTCCCGCTGTTTCTTTCGTGACCGCACTGCCCTTGAGCAGCTTGCTCGGCCGGTTGCAGTCTCCCTCGCTGACCCCTCTGGGGGTCCGGTCATTGCGACCTCCTCTACTGTTCTCCCTTGTCCTGCGGTCCCGTCGGGCACTCTGTCAGGTCTCTACCTCCCCTCGTTCTCTACGAACTTGGTGGCGGGTAGTGCGCTCCAGGACGGGGGTGTCCACCAGTTTACCCCTGCCTACGAGCGTGTGATACACTGCACGTGCGCTCGGACGGGCCGCCACCTGGCTACCTTCACTCGGCAGCCAGGGTCGGACCTGTACACACTGACCACTGAGTCCCCACAGGTAGCTGCGTCTGCGTCTGCGTCGGGTCAGCTGTCTGCCCCCTGCTCGTGTCACTCTCTGGCACACGAGACTGTCCTCTGGCACCACCGTCTTGGTCACCCGTCAGTGCAGCGCCTTCGTGCCATGCACAACCGGTACCTTGTCTCTGGTCTTCCCAGGGTTCTCCCTCCACTCCCACCCTCGCCTGCTCCTCCCTGCCTTCCCTGTGTCGAGGGGCGGCAGCGCGCCGCTCCTCACTCCTCCTCGTTTCCCCCGACGACTGCTCCCTTGCAGACGCTCCACATGGACGTGTGGGGCCCAGCCCGCGTCCGTGGACAGGGTCAGGAGAGGTACTTCCTGATCGTTGTTGACGACTACTCGCGCTACACCACGGTCTTCCCCTTGCGCACCAAGGGTGAGGTCCCTGATGTTTTGATCCCTTGGATCCGCGCTGCTCGTCTCCAGCTCAGTGAGAGGTTCCACTCGGACTTTCCTGTCCTGCGTCTGCACTCTGACAGAGGTGGTGAGTTCTCCTCTGACCTCTTGGCAGCCTACTGTGCGGAGCACGGCATCCGCCAGTCGTTCACGCTTCCGACCTCTCCACAGCAGAATGGGGTTGCTGAGCGCCGCATTGGTTTGGTCATGGAGGTCGCTCGTACCTCCTTGATCCATGCGGCTGCCCCCCACTTTCTGTGGCCGTTTGCGGTCCGATACGATGCGCATCAGCTCAACCTCTGCGTCTCCGTTCCGGAGACTTCGCCGACACTGCGTTGGACGGGAGAGGTTGGCGATGCGTCGCGTTTTCGGGTCTGGGGGTCCCGAGCTTTTGTTCGCGATACGTTCGCGGACAAGCTCTCCTCCCGCGCTGTTCCCTGTGTCTTCCTTGGCTTTGTCCCGGACGCGTCTGGTTGGCAGTTTTACCACACCACCTCGCGCCGTGTCCTGCCCTCTCAGGACGTCACTTTTGACGAGTCCGTGCCCTACTACCGCCTCTTCCCCTACCGCACTGCCCCGCTCCCCCCCCCGCCTCTCTTCCT